TTTACACTACATAGACAAAAATTTACCAAAGCGTGCAGATTGTTCCCGATCGGATTGCTATTACTTTGTGGAACGTTTCGCCGCATGGTTCACGGAATATCGTCATTCTTGTGGCGAAATTTGTCCCATAGGAATGAATGGCAAAGCTAGAGTGGGAGCTGGCAAAAGCTGGAAAATCAGGACATGATTTCTAAACTGCCACCACTCCCTTATTTTCAGGCCCACCTACACAAATCTTATATCAAAACGTTCAGCTATCCCTGCTGCCACTAAACATGTCAGCGGCTAAGCCATAGTCCTGATAGTTTTCACAATATAATCATTTGTTTGCAACTAACGCCGTCCATTGACATTCATTGAAACTTCCCTCTACAAAGCTCAAATTTGAAGTGCAATTTCTAAACTGCGACTGTGCCTTCAGTTTTAATACTTCAGAGACATACTATGCATCAAAATGTAGGTCTGGGTCTTGTGATTCTCACAATATAAAGCTCTTCACTGTAGGAGTTATAGTTTTTAAGATACGACCGTTTGAAGATGGCAACCGCCAAAATACTCTGACCTGTGTCAAGCTGCAGCAGCAAGTGATGTCATAGACAGGGCCTTTTGAACACCTGCTAATGTTTTTATAAATGTATGGTTTAATGTAACTGTGCAACAACGTTGCAATTAAATGTGCTATGTAAATGATAACAGTTACTCCGCCCTCTCCAGTTGTAGACTCCTGGTGGAGGCAAGAACACTTCACACAATTTCCCCTGAAATTGTAACTTTTCTAGTTGATTATTGCTTTTTGATATTGGCGCTTCATGAATTTAATGATTTAGGCCCAACAACCCCCATCAAGTTTATTGTCAGAATTTACAGACTTTCAGCTGTTTGCTATGAGTAAATCGAACCTGCCTGCTAGCCAGTTAAGGTATTTTAAGTGTTCGAGCACAAGCACACCCGGTGCAACTAATGAAGCCCTTGATTAATTGCAACAGGTGTGCTTGAGATAACACCTGTTTTGCATATTTGTGATGTCGTGAGGGATTCTATTCAGGGGATTGAATAATTTTGAGACTGGAGAAGTCATTATACGTTGCATTTTCAGTTGAATTTGGGGAAACCACTTGAAGCATTCGTTTTGTTGCACGGTTTCAGTTATTTTTGTTTGATTTGTTAATTGAAGACAGCTGAAAGTCTGTAAAGGTTGACAATAGGGGGTTGAATAGTTTTGATTACAACTGTATGCATGTTTGTATGTATGAATAAAATATTTGTGTGGTTACATATTTGTAGTCATTCTTTTGTGATACATTTGTCAGGTAACGATCTTGTCTTTTATAGTGCATGGTTCTGTGATAAGTTACATGAATACTATTTTGAAATGGTTATCTTTGGTTTACTCATAGTTAGGTATATTTAGGTTATATATTCATGAATTATTTTATTTGATGTGCCTGTGACATTATGTTATGTTTTTGATTGTAATTCTTTGGGGGTTTTTTTAAATATGGGATTTTTTTATTGTGAAAGATTAGTGATCCCTGCCAGGCAGTAAGATATCGGGCGATATCCCTTTACGATGTCTTGAACATTTTTATTAATGCCCAGGTGTGTATGCTGAGAAGGAACTAGTTATCCTGGTTTCTAGATGCACCTTTTTTGGGAATATTTGCCATGACAAAATATTCAGTGAATACAGAGCACACAGACTGAACAGTTAATTGTAGGGTTAGCGTTTGGGGTTAGTTGTGGTTAGCTAAGGTCAAGATTAGATCGTTAACATTAGACAGATTTAAGGTTAGAAATAGTATCTGTGTTTGATGCTGATCAATATGGTATCAAATATAGTGTTACGTTACAGAATAGTGTTTCTAAGAAGCAAAGAGGCATGTCAGCATTGGGGCATGTCCCTAATTTAGATTCTAGAAGATCATCACAAACCTGGCAAAGGTATGTAAGTCGGTATTTCTGTACTCTGAAGGTGCAGCAAAAGGCACATCAAGTATCTATGAGACAGGACATACAAGGATTGTCAAATTTACCATTGCATGCCCGTGTGTATGTAAAAAAATAAAAATAAAATAACATTAAATTCAGTAGAAATTAATGTAGAAAAATACAGCAGAACAAACACATAGCAAAATAGCAAACTCATGAAAGCATGGATTTTCAGAAAAGCCTTGGTCACTAAGGGCTAAGTAACAGCTATTATCACAGGAAAGTTATATGAAATACATGTATGCTTATAATAACTGGTAAAATAAGCAATTAAACCTGTCATCTTTCAACTGGTACACACAACATTGTATCTTTTAATGATGATTACCAACATACTAACTAACCCTATATAGCAGTTTCTTCTTATTTCTCCATTGGTATCTTGGATTTCACATGCAGTACTGTATGCATGCTATTCATTAGATACATAGATGTCCTTAGAGAGTTAATCAAATATAGTTTTTTAGTTTACTTAGCTAGGAGTGAAACATACCATTAGTATCTGTATAAGCACATTACTGATTTATTTGTCCAGGTGTAAAAAAGACCATTTTTATTTTGATTTGTTATCGACACATTCAATATATTAACCCCACTCCCCCATCTCCCCCCTTTCTTGCATCCCATGGGCCACTGTGGTTTAAAAATATATTTTTTGTCTATTGATACTTTGTGTTACCTCCTACCGAGGAGCATCTGGGCGATATTTTACCGAACCCACATGTTAATTTTCACTATATACTGTATTGTCTGTAGTAAAAAAAGTTACTATTGCAAATCTCTGTGCATATTTATTTAAATGGAGGTTTTTAGTTCCCCTCCAATGGCCATTTGATGTAAGCCCACCTGCCACGATACATCTAATGGCCATTGGAGGGGAACTAAAATCCTCCATTTATGTAAATATGCCCAGGCATTTGGAATAGAGTGCAAGTAACTTTTTTCTTTGGTATTTACTGTATGTAGGAGTAGTGGGAGTTTGAGCGCAGGACTTATTTTTCTGTAATTGTATTGTCTGCGTCTAATTCTTCCTGTGCATGCAGATTGTAGCTTTTGTGCACCGTCTTAGTCTGATTGAATATATACTGATTGAAATGACATAAATGGAAAATGAAGCAAAATGTGTTTTAATTTCTAGTTTTTTGGGTAACCGATACAATCAGAGTTTCTTATTATATCTATATTGAATGAAACAGTTGGGATATAGAACAGATAGGTATTTTAGATAATAGTTTTAAGTCTCAAGTTGGAGGGCATAAATACTGCATCATTGTGATCTTTGTTGCATGATGTCCGTTTGTCACCCTTAAAAATAATCCGCAAGCTGTAGAGCCAAGTGTTAGCCATTATTGTTTTAACCTGCTAGAATGTTCCTACATTGATGGTAAATTCTAAATTGACAGAATATATAGATTACATTTCATTATATCCTTTACATCAGGGATTGTAGACCTAAAACTCCCATGATGCTTTGCATGCCTTTAGAAAAGCATCATGGAAGCTGTAGTTTAAAAACATCTGGGGGGCGGGGCTTGGGTGCCATCCTGGAAGGTCGCAGGCAGGCTGAGCTCCTGCTTAAAATCGGAATAAAAGTGCTATAAAAGCAGGTGAAAACCCAAAAATGGACTTTACCTACCAGTACACTCTAAACCTGCATTGCGGGAACAATCTCAGAGCGGGTGTTAACCCCTCCACCTACGCAAAACAGCAGCTGCGGCTTCCATCCCTCTGTGGCCTGGCGCCGACCTGGCGGGAGATGCGGCCGGTCTCTACGTCGGGGGTGACCTGGGCACTCAGTCCAGCAGTCAATATGTGCCCCGTACCCTCCCCCTCAGGGCCGGCCCCCACCAGATGACTACTTACCTCTGAAACGCATCCAAACGACAAGAATGAAGATGGCACACACGCGGCCTACTTTAAAATGGCCGACCGCAAACATGCACATCCTACCCTGCAACACAGCAACTGGGAAGCAGGATTCACGCTAAAATTTAACAAAATGTGCAAGCAGTACTGGAGAGGCTGGCAGGAACGTCGAAAGCAAACAATGAGATCTGCACCCGTGGAGTTACCTATGGACAGTGCTCCGGAGCCTCGGCGCCCCCGTCCTGCACTGGGAACCAGGAAGGCTCAAGCACGCACCCGCAGTCCAAATGCAGCGAAACAGAGCAGCAGCACTAGACCCCGACACGTCCCTACCCCGGGGATGGTGAGAGAGGCACATGGACATGGGAAACGGGAGTCCTTTAACAACAAGGACTGTGGGAGTGCTGCATGGCACGGCGACATGGGGGACGAGAACTCCACGCTGCCCCTATCTGCATTAGGTCTGATCACCACGGGAATAGGCTGAGAGAACTCTCTTTAACGGGACTAAACAGGCATCCAGACCATGCACTCATCTCATTCCGTTGTCACCCTACCCTTAATACCATGTGTAGCAGATGGCATTGGGCTGTCCACAAAATTATGTGTTTAATATGCTTTCGTTTAATTTTGCCATATGTATGTTTAGTGTATGCATCATTCGTTTGATTGTTCGGTAAAATCTCTCCATTTATTATACAAGTGAAAAAAACTGCAGTATCTATAAGTGGATTATGTGTCACACTGAGGTGAGGAGATGTGTGGGAGGTAACAGTTACACTATTGGATACTGTACTAATTAATGTGAATCCCTCCCTTGCATGGGAGAAAGCTTTAAAAGAAGGTTGTGTGATTAAAAGTTCAGTTCTGCTCCTGATGCTGTGTGTCGTCCAGTCATTGGGATCTGTATTGGGATATTGAGACTATTGTTATATGAGATTTTATTACTTGTTCCTAAGCCTCACTGGGATCTTTAGTGGAGATAACCTGTGAAATACCAGCTCTCCGCTACACCATGTTTTTCCTTTCATAACTCTCTTCACTTGTAGCCAAAATGGAGGACTGCATATTAAGCTAAGATGCTCATGTAGTTAGGTGGTTTTATTTGTACTTCTAAAATCAGTGCTTTCACTTTATGTTTCCCATAGTTAACTTACTAGCACTGTACTTATTTAGCTTGCATTCTTTTCATAAAAAGCGCAGATTAAGCTATTAAATGTAACTGTAATACGCAACCAATATAAATCAACGCTCTGTTCATGCATTTATATCCAAAAATTGAGCACATCTTAAATGCCATACATGTAAAATCAATGTGATATGTCTATGCTTATGAACGCTATTGTAGCAGAGTAAGCTGCTTTGTCTATTCATGCACTCAAAAACAAAAGAATTTAAAAAATTTATTAAAAAAACAAACATCTGGGGAGCTACCTATTGGGCACCCCTGCTTTAGATTGTAAGATCAAGATCTATCTAACTAAGCATTTTTTGTATAAAAGAGCTTCAATGGCTACATCTCAGCTCATGAGCAGGACCCTCTTTACATTTTGTATTGCTCTGTGTATATTGTACTGTTTTTGTTTTTTCTTTCCAAAATTGTACAGGACTATAGAATATAGCAATATATAAATAAATCATTTCAGCTCACATTAGATGTGCAAGAAGACAACTTTGTCACATCACACAGCATAATAACGATATCAAATCTATATGTAGCCAATGCCTTAACGTGCCTTATATTTCTAATTTACTCAGCTGAAAACCAGAAAAACATCAAGACGTCACAGCTGCCTACATGTCGCTGCTTATTTCTAAGCACTGCTACTCTGCATGAGATTTTCATTTCGTTCTAGCTCTACTTTCAAGTACTTCTAAGAGGATAACAAATTAAAAGCTACAATTCTCAGTGTAATGGTTAGAACAGGTTTCAACCTGTGTGAAGTAGCAGTAAGTTTTCTTTTGTTCAAGCTTTTGAAGTACATTTGAAACAATAAAAAAAAATGATCAGAAATTTTTCTGATTTGCTACCATGCAAAGAACCCTAGCAATTGTTAAATTAAAAGACAAAAAATACAAAAAGAGAAAAAATTATATAACTGAAAACATTGTCAGGGCGGTCTGGCAAATCTATGACACACAAAAAGGAAATGATCATTAATTTCAGAATACTCTTTACCAATCTTTCCAAGTATTTGTACAATAAAGGGTTAGGAGGCCTTTGATAAAAAAAAAGTCATACGTTATACATTATAGAAACTGCCTTGCAAGGAATAATATTGAGATCTAATTGTAAGGGAATAAATGCACAAAGTGATAAACTCTGTTTATTTTGTGCCCAAAATGAGGTATAAAAATGACTCATCACAACTTACTCTCTTAAATTACTCTGCCCAGACAATGAAAAATGGACCCAGCATTCGGATTAGATCCAGATGGTGTTGCTTTTCCAGAATTTCCCTGACGTCTAATCATAGATGATACCAAGTAGTTTGCAAAGTACAGTCATGAACGAACAGAAGCAATTTACGTATTGACATGCTTATGAGTCCAAAAAGGCCATCAATCCAAATGAATAAATACCTGTACAGGAGGGAATGAGAAACCAAGCAAATCGACCACCATTCATCTTGTTTTCAAACGTCTTTCCTGTTCTTCAGTTATTCTAATTTCCTTTCTTAAAATAAACTAAATGGATTAATAATTTAGGTAAAAAATTACTAAACAATAGCATTTCATGTGACTTTTTTTTCCTTTTTACTAAAAAATTATTTAGGTTTGTAAGAATTCTGTTTCTACCAATTAAGAGAGCAGAAGATTGTCCAGTTACCCTGTGTATCAGTCAGGGGCATGTCACAGGCTGGTATCTCATTGCAGGGTATTGGGGACACTACCAACTCTCAGCTTGTCCCCAGCGATGCTCACGCCAGTCACGATAACCCTGCCTCCTTTTACGATGCTGCTAACGAGCACCGACGTCTTGATGCTAAGATGCCACGGCTCACCAATGGGTTCGAATGAGAACATTTTGGGGGAGTGGTTACCTACCTAATTGAACATGGTATTTAAAGAGAAAGCAGGGAGAGACTCATTGCCCTGTTGTGGTTCTTGATAGACCCAAGAGCGCATATCTGGTATTGGTATTCTTGTATTCTGACTTTGGCTTCGTTTGACTGTTCCCACTTCTGTGTTCCTTTGACCTGGCTATTGCATTATCTTTGATTCTGATTTCTGGTAACCCTGACTTCGGTTCACTATTGACTATTCTTTGTGTGTGTAGTGTAAGTCCAGACATCCTAAGGTCCTAGTATACATTACTAGTATTTGCATTCTGTGTGTCTGATTCCCGAAACTTTCCTGACAAAGATAAGAACTTCTAAAGTAAACACATTATCCTTAGTAACCATGAATGCTTCAAAATGAACATTTCGCCGGCCACAGCTGCAGAAACTGTGGTTTAAGGAACTGGCCATGCTGGTTTTCACTAACCTGAAATTAATTCCTTATCTATATTTTTCTATTCATTGTACTAGCAAAAAAACAGTGCTAAAATTGCCCCCAGCAGACAGACTCATGACATAGACTAGATGTCGATGTCTGTCTGTAAGTGAACTCTCATACCAGCGCTTCAAGAGAAAAAAAAAACCTGGAGTGACGTCTGGGGTCACTTTGTTCAATGGGCTGATGAACTGACATTGAACCGCCATCAGGTGGGGCTGTCCTCAGGTGCTGCTTCATTAACTTTAAGTGCACATGTGCTCCATTATTATTATTATTTTATTATTTATATAGCGCCAGCAAAATTCCATAGCACTGTCCATAGGAGACTCGCTTACGGAATAATAATAGCTTGTGCATCCCCTGCCACACAAGCCAGAGCTTCAATAGAAAAATAAATGTGCTGACAATGAAGAGTCCTCGGCTGGGGCTGTGCCAGCCATGGGGGAAGTCATCCCAGGCTTCCCAAACAGAGGCAGAAAAAAAACAAGTCTTCATGCCCACGATGGCAGGTTTATAGCGGCATTGGGAGAAGGTGAGTATAATAAAAACTTGAAGCTCCTTAACAGAACACTGAAAAAAAACTATATTTTCTGCAAGTATGCAGCTAAAGAGTACAATTTAACAAACGTTTAAAAACTTGCAACAAGTTTGCTTGTAAACTGCAGAGAAATGAGCAATGACACTCAAAGGAGGTGGGGGGGGGGAGGGGACCATGCACCAAAACTACTTCTTCATTAAGCCAAAGTGGTCTTGTACACATGTTCAGGTGTTACTTTAACCCCAGAATCACAACTCCGCTTTGATTTGTATAAGTAATTTTGTTCAGGAATGCTTTAGACTTGACAAAGGTTGACTCTCCCAAAAGTTTGTCATATCAAAATTCTGTTTGCCCAATAAAAAGGTATTACATAGTATGATGATTTTCTATTGTTTTAAACCTGCATCACTGGACAAGTACTGCTACCATTTCACAGTCAAGCCTATATATCTATGAATGCAATTATGTTATTCGTGTTAAAGGACCACTATAGGCACCCAGACCACTTCAGCTTAATGAAGTGGTCTGGGTGCCAGGCCCAGCTAGGTTTAACCCTTTTTGCTGTAAACATAGCAGTTTCAGAGAAACTGCTATATTTACAAATGAGTTAATGAGTTACTCATTGACAGCCGCTAGAGGCGTTTCTGCGCTTCTCACTGTGATTTTCACAGTGAGAAGACGCCAATGTCCATAGGAAAGCATTGCCCCCTCAGGGCACTATAGTGCCAGGAAAAGAGTGTTTTCCTGGCACTATAGTGGTCCTTTAATCATATCCATATTCTATAACAATACTGTGACCACTGTTAGAATACATGCATTGGATATTAAAATGTCAGGTTTCAGAATAATTAAGAAATATAAATTAAAATTAATATGTAGAATTAAATACAACTAGGGCCCAAATATGTAATTTGATCAAAATAAATCTTTGTTAGAGCTGAGCATTTGAAAACTCATTTTCAGGATTCAGCTGTTTCCATTGTACGCTCAGCAGTACATATAGTTTGATAAATATTCAATAAATAAGGCATTTTGAAAGCAAGATAAATGATGCGCATTTCAATGAATTTGTATGAAATCATAGATCAAAAGGAACAGCAGACAGGTATTCTGATGATACGCAGCATGTGATATCATTGGCACAAACCTGAATATATTTTACTATAGATATCAAAATGCCTTTTATCTTACATACATATATCACAACATGCTGAAGCAAATACAATAAAATAGATTTATAAATATTGTTTAAAATTACACTCCATGCTCAAATGTTAAATGTTTAAATTAAATATTACGGAGTCTTCGTTGGAAAATCCATTTAAAAAAATGCATGAAACAGTAAGTGGGCAATTAAAACCCTTTCCACCCCTAAGTGAACCCAATAATAGTTTTTTCTATGAAACTGAGTGAATTAGGCAGAACGTGCAGTTTCATATGAATACTTT